CTACATGGGCTGCACCTAGCCCCCACTTACCAGGTGGCAGTGAGCAGCAGGGTGAGCATAGGTCCAAGGACTCAAGAGAAGCTGAGGGTGGCCACACAGCTGGAGAGAAGCAGTGGTTTACCGTTCTCTCTGGCCAGCTATGCGGCCGTCCTATGCTCCGCCTGAGTTCTCCTCCAGCCCATGGTCCATGCCAGCCACCTGCTGCCCTGAGATGCAAGTGAGCGTCCCTCCCTGCCCTGCTCAGGGGTTGCCCACTCTCCCAGACCAGCCAGATTTGCAACAGACTGGTTGATCATTGCCTTTGGTTGCTTTTTTTACATGCACTCTGCTCAGCCTGACCCACTGCCCCTACAGCCAGTGCCCCCCCCAGAGACCCTCCCCACTGCTCTGAGACCCCCACCCACCTTAGCCCCAAGACCCTGACCCACTGCCCGGAGACCCCCACTGCCCCGCACCCTGAGATCCCCACTCTGCTCAGCCTGACCCACTGCCCCTACAGCCAGTGCCCCCCCCAGAGACCCTCCCCACTGCTCTGAGACCCCCACCCACCTTAGCCCCAAGACCCTGACCCACTGCCCGGAGACCCCCACTGCCCCGCACCCTGAGATCCCCACTCTGCTCAGCCTGACCCACTGCCCCTACAGCCAGTGCCCCCCCCAGAGACCCTCCCCACTGCTCTGAGACCCCCACCCACCTTAGCCCCAAGACCCTGACCCACTGCCCGGAGACCCCCACTGCCCCGCACCCTGAGATCCCCACTCTGCTCAGCCTGACCCACTGCCCCTACAGCCAGTGCCCCCCCCAGAGACCCTCCCCACTGCTCTGAGACCCCCACCCACCTTAGCCCCAAGACCCTGACCCACTGCCCGGAGACCCCCACTGCCCCGCACCCTGAGATCCCCACTCTGCTCAGCCTGACCCACTGCCCCTACAGCCAGTGCCCCCCCCAGAGACCCTCCCCACTGCTCTGAGACCCCCACCCACCTTAGCCCCAAGACCCTGACCCACTGCCCGGAGACCCCCACTGCCCCGCACCCTGAGATCCCCACTCTGCTCAGCCTGACCCACTGCCCCTACAGCCAGTGCCCCCCCCAGAGACCCTCCCCACTGCTCTGAGACCCCCACCCACCTTAGCCCCAAGACCCTGACCCACTGCCCGGAGACCCCCACTGCCCCGCACCCTGAGATCCCCACTCTGCTCAGCCTGACCCACTGCCCCTACAGCCAGTGCCCCCCCCAGAGACCCTCCCCACTGCTCTGAGACCCCCACCCACCTTAGCCCCAAGACCCTGACCCACTGCCCGGAGACCCCCACTGCCCCGCACCCTGAGATCCCCACTCTGCTCAGCCTGACCCACTGCCCCTACAGCCAGTGCCCCCCCCAGAGACCCTCCCCACTGCTCTGAGACCCCCACCCACCTTAGCCCCAAGACCCTGACCCACTGCCCGGAGACCCCCACTGCCCCGCACCCTGAGATCCCCACTCTGCTCAGCCTGACCCACTGCCCCTACAGCCAGTGCCCCCCCCAGAGACCCTCCCCACTGCTCTGAGACCCCCACCCACCTTAGCCCCAAGACCCTGACCCACTGCCCGGAGACCCCCACTGCCCCGCACCCTGAGATCCCCACTCTGCTCAGCCTGACCCACTGCCCCTACAGCCAGTGCCCCCCCCAGAGACCCTCCCCACTGCTCTGAGACCCCCACCCACCTTAGCCCCAAGACCCTGACCCACTGCCCGGAGACCCCCACTGCCCCGCACCCTGAGATCCCCACTCTGCTCAGCCTGACCCACTGCCCCTACAGCCAGTGCCCCCCCCAGAGACCCTCCCCACTGCTCTGAGACCCCCACCCACCTTAGCCCCAAGACCCTGACCCACTGCCCGGAGACCCCCACTGCCCCGCACCCTGAGATCCCCACTCTGCTCAGCCTGACCCACTGCCCCTACAGCCAGTGCCCCCCCCAGAGACCCTCCCCACTGCTCTGAGACCCCCACCCACCTTAGCCCCAAGACCCTGACCCACTGCCCGGAGACCCCCACTGCCCCGCACCCTGAGATCCCCACTCTGCTCAGCCTGACCCACTGCCTCTACAGCCAGTGCTCCCACTCCCTCTACTCGCTGAGACCCCTCACCCATGACTCGCTGCCCAACATCCCCTCCACCCCAACCCGCAGCCCCTCCACCCCTGACTTCACCACCTCCCGCACCCTCTGCCTCTGCCTACCAACACCCCCACATCCCTACCTTCCTGAAAAGCTCCCCCTTTGCCCCTACTTTGATGCCTGCTAGGATCTCTAAATCTGTGAATCTGTATTCAGGCAAGCAAATAACAGTTGTTTCCTTGAAGCTGATAGATAGCTTTCAAAATGGTTTCCTCCAAGAACTTCTATACTGGTACAATTGCCTCCATACCAGTGATGTACTGTTTTAAGGCTTTCTGTTCCCGAACGGATTTGATGAAACCAAATGAAAACTCTGTGTGTGGACCAGCCCTAAGGGATTTTGTTCAATTTTTAGCCACCAGCTGCGTGTTTTCAAACTGTCTGATCCCTTGCAAATTATTAACAAGGTAGGTATTCTGGAGAGCAAACAGAAGTGCTGGGAAAAGGCCTCCTGTACATGACTTGATGGCCAGAGGAGGCAGTTTGAGGGGGGAGATTGTTACAGAATACCAGCCTCTGCTGCCTCCAGAGAGATGTTCAGTGATGTGTGAGAGATCTGTGAGGAGAAAACATCAAGGCCATTTACTGTACATACTCACAAAGATAGACACAATTTCCATCCGTGCTTGGAAAGGTTTCAAGACTCCAAACCTCAGAGTGAAACATTCTGAAGGGAATAACAGCTGACAGGATGTGTGTATAGGCAGCTAGTATTATGGGCCCAAGGTGCTCCAGCACCAGGAATCTTCAAGGTTCGGGGCTGGGGTCCATCAAAACTCACTGTCTACCTGCGTTCCCAGCCCCTAGCATCCTCCAGCCCCTCCTGCAACCCTTACCCATCTTCCGGCCTTACCTGCTTCCCCTCTGGTGATTTAAAATGTCTGGAGGTGTTAGCAGCATAGCTGGGTAAGAGCAGCTGTTAGCCACTCGCTTGTCCTGGCTGTCAGCATTTGTGTCCCTGTAGTCGAGACTGGGAAGGCCACCGTAATCCAGTGGCATTTTATATTCTGTGCTGTAACGGATCAAATAAGCTGCCGAGCAACAGAGGATGAGGCCCAGGGCCAAGTGCAACAAAAAAGGGTAGAGCAAAAACCTGAGCGGTGCTGAGCATTGACATCTGCCATAGAAGCCAATGGGCAATGCAGACGCTCAGCACTGAGGTCCTAAATTTGCAAACACAAATCATTTTACAGGCTGCCCCCAACTGGCGACACGATCGGTTCCGGAGATAGTGTTGCAAGTCGGGGGTGTCGTAACTTGAATCCACATTTACGACAGGTGTCGTACGCTGTCATAAATGTGGGGCCAAGGTTGTAAGTTGGGGGATTTCAGCCCGTTCTGCACTTATGGAAAAGGTCATAATTGTGGGAGGTCATAAATTGGGCCATCGCAAAGCGGAGGGCCTCCTGCATTCACATGAGTCATTGCAATAAAGCCAGCGGAGACTTGTGACCAAACTTAAAAGTTTTCTGAAGTTATCGTGCCATTACTTTAAACAAATCTTTCCCTTCCACTCCCCCACCTCATAGACCAGCCTCTACAAAAGGGTTGTTTTTTTTCAGTGGCTCTAGGGGCACATGTATGCCCTCCACCACCAGGCCCCTCTCCACCGCCGCCTGGGCAAAAGCCTCCGAGAAAAGGAGAACACTACCTTCCCATACATTTTGGTGGCCGCCACCATGGCCAAGGACCCTACCACCCTCGCCAATGCCTGCACGTATGTTTTGAGGTGGGGCAAGGCGGGGACCAGGAGGCAGCAGACGCTGGTCAGGGTGGGGAAGGGGCCCAGGATGGAGCTGGAGGTGAAAGTGGCAGCACGTGGAGGGCGGCAGTGGTCACCTGGGCGTACACTCTGGGGACTGCAGGTGGATCACCCCCACAGCTGGTGGGGGAAACGGCAGGGGAAGGAGGGTGGTGTTTGTCAGTGAGGAGCTGGCCTGCCCTACTTGGCTGGAGACCAACCGGTTAAGTAGTAGTTCTGTAGAAAAGGACCTGGGGGTTACAGTGGATGAGAAGCTGGATATGAGTCAACAGTGTGCCCTTGTAGCCAAGAAGGCTAATGGCATATTAGGGTGCATTAAGAGGAGCATTACCAGCAGATCCAGAGATGTCATCATTCCCCTTTATTCGGCTTTGGTGAGGCCGCATCTGGAGTATTGTGTCCAGTTCTGGGCCCCCCACTACAAAAAGGATGTGGACACAATGGAGAGGGTCCAGCAGAGGGCAACCAAAATGATTAGGGGGCTGGAGCATATGACCTATGAGGAGAGGCTGAGAGTCTTGGGTCTGTTTAGTTTGCAGAAGCGAAGAGTGAGGGGGGATTTGATAGCAGCCTTCAACTTTCTGAAGGGAGGTCCCAAAGAGGATGGAGAGAGGCTGGTCTCAGTAGTGACAGATGGCAGAACAAGGAGCAATGGGCTCAAGTTGTGGTGGGAGAGGTCCAGGTTGGATATTAGGAAAAACTATTTCACTAGGAGGGTGGTGAAGCCCTGGAATGGGTTCCCTAGGGAAGTTGTGGAGTCTCCATCCCTAGAGGTGTTTAAGTCTCCGCTTGACAAAGCCCTGGCTGGGCTGATTTAGTTGGAAATGGTCCTGCCTAGAGCAGGGGGCTGGACTTGATGACCTTCTGAGGTCTCTTCCAGTTCTATGATTCTATGATTCTACTTAGTCTCTTCCAAAAAACCTGAGGCTATGAATACAAAGGCTCAGCACACAGCTGTGTGGCAAGATCTGAAACCTGAGTTGCCTTGTTTATCCACCCCCAGCTGGCTTGCAGGAAGCGAGGTGGGGGTGGAAAGCTTGACAATGGTGCTGACAGGGGAACACTGCGGCCGGCCGTGGAATGCAGAAGGAAACCCCAAATCTGGCTGAAGGGCTAACGCTGAGCCACCAAGCAGGAAATGACTCGTGGAGGAGGGACCAGGCCGCTGAGAGTCAGCTGTGGCGGGGAGAGAACTACAGTTCCCAGCGTGCTGTGCGCTGGGCGGCTGCACGTGGGGCTTAATCATCTGGCCCGGGCGCTGGAGCCGGTGCGGAGAAGCAGGAGAGACCGTGGGAGGCTTTTTCGTCCCTTTCCCCAGGTATGAGGACACCGGGGGCTGGTGGATGAATGAGCCGAGCAGCCCCAGAAAGGGCTGCGGTGCCCGTATGAAGGAGCCTCCTTCCCTCCCCCCCCCAGGGGTGGGTTTCCACCCCGGAGCCCTCGCCCAGCTCAGCCCGTCTTCCCACCCCCTGGTAGGCATCAGTGCAGGCGCCCTCAGGCAGTGGCCTTCTCCCCATCGGGCTCTGGAGCAGCTGCAGGATCATCTCCCTGTCGGGGCGGTACAGCCAGGCTGCAAACCCTGCCACCACCCATGCACCTGCATGCTTCGGTGGCTGCGTCCCTGTGACACCTCTGCTGCCGTGGGGGCTGTGGCCCCTTGCCGTCCTGGTACCCACGGAGGGCGTGGTGCAGGCTCTGTGCTCGCCCTTCCCTGTTCTTTTGTCCCCTTGCTGTATGCTAGCGGGGCTGCCCTTTCTCCAGCCAGCATGCAAACGGCGGGTTGTTTTTTTGCCTGGCTGGCGTTTTCCTACTGTAGGCTGTGTATGACTGGGCTCTGGTGACTGTCAGCAGTGGCTCTCTCCTGGGTTATCACGTCCCTGTTGTCAGCACGTTTCAGGGTTAAACTCCTCCACAAGGAAGTTTCTGTGGGTCGGGTAGTTCTGCTTAATGGAGTCACAGGAATCCTCCATTGAAAGCAGACGGCTAGTCCCAGAAACTTGATTGTCCTGGCTGTAAGCAGATGCCACCTGCTTTGTAGGAAGGACTGATCCTCTCTAACACGCCGGATGGGCTGTGCCATCTTGCCTGAGGGGTTAGTGGGGAAGAAGTCGGGAATGGAGAACATTTATTCCTGACCTGCGGTCTGCCGGCTTGTGTATTGCAGTAGGCAAGGCAAAGGCAATCTGCTGGGCTCCTTCCTTCAGCTCAGTAGAAACCCTCTTCTCTGCACCCTGCTACCATGATTCTTGCAAGGACTGGCCCTGGGGGAAAACTTCCTCCAAACCTTAAATGGCAATACGTTCTATACTAATCATAAAGATTGACTGAGAGCCTTCTCACAACTTCCTAGTTACCCTACAAGTGTGGGTCTTGTCCGGGGATGTGTCTGGTTTAATAAGCTTCAGAAGAAAAGTATTCCTCTCAGCACTGCCCTGGATCTGTGAGTTTCACTGGTTAACCATGTCCTGGGATAGAAGTTACTTATGAGCTTGTCCTCAATCAGCTGTCTCACCCTGATCTGCTTAACAGTCACAGGGATGAGATGTTTGAAATAGCTCTCAGTTGCGTGAGGAGGCACTTCCTCTATGCTGAGTGTAGTGTTCCTAGACAGCCACTTTCCTTGTTAACAGAAAAACGGTGCGGAGGACGTAAAGATCAACTCTCAGCTTCCTCCAGGCCTGGCTGCTCTTTAGGCTCCTCCCACAGGACTGCTGTAGACCCCTTCCCAACTTGCATATACTAGACATCTGCCTTAGTATTTAACCCCATCCCTGAAAGATCTATAGCCGCTCACAGGGCTGAGATGAAATACTTCTGGCTTGCTAATTTGATGGTTGAGCTTTGTTTCCTCTAATCCTGTGCTATAATGCTGATGCTGCAGGTTGAGCTGCACATAATGTAGGACCCTGGAGTGACAGAGCTGGAAGCTTATTTTAGTAATAGTTGGGTGTTCGTTGATGATCCCAAGACAAAGCAAACTCCAGTTTGCTCCTCGCTCCTCTCTGTGTTCCCTAGTTCCTGAACAGCCCAAAAATAAGCTGAATAAATGCAGTGTAGCACTCTGAAGTGCACCCATTGTTACTTTTTTGTGGTAGAAGTAGTGGTGTATCACTTGCCTCATACTGTAAAGGTTAATCTGGTAAGTGTGTGGGGCCGATGAAGGACAGTATAAAGATACCATGTGAAGCCCTCTTTGCAGTCAGAGATAAAAATTCTTTGTTATTCCTAAAATCTTTGGAAACCTCTTTTTGAAGCTGATGAAATTTCATAAATAGATCTATTGTTATGGTGATCACACAAGGTAAATTAGCGTTCCTTTTTCTAAAAGCTATGAACGTGGTCATGAATGCACTAAACCTCTGTGACCAATTAATTTAAAATAATGTCTTTATTTCATTGAGTTAATACGTAGTAATCGGGAAGGATGACTTTATGAAGGCTTAAGAGTATGTTTAAAATATAAAGTTATTTTAGAAATCCTGATGAAGAAAATGTAAATCAGAGATGAGCTGAATCATGAATTCCATTAACAATTACTGGTCATGAATGCACTAAACCTCTGTGACCAATTAATTTAAAATAATGTCTTTATTTCATTGAGTTAATACGTAGTAATCGGGAAGGATGACTTTATGAAGGCTTAAGAGTATGTTTAAAATATAAAGTTATTTTAGAAATCCTGATGAAGAAAATGTAAATCAGAGATGAGCTGAATCATGAATTCCATTAACAATTACTACAGCTGACTTGCTCTTACTACAAAGTGTTTGCAGATAAATCTCTGACAAGCTTCAGGGTATTTAAAAAAAAAAAAAATCTGTGACTGACATATTTTATTCCCAAATTGAGTGCTTTTAATTAAATGCCTTCTGCACTTTCCATCTTCACCATCTGACATGCAGTGAAAACCGTGCTCTGTTTTTTTTAAAAAGGAAATTGTCGAAGAGCTGTGGGTTTTGTTTTGTTTTTCAAATTTGCTTTGTTTGGGTTTAGAGATTTGGGTGGAAGGAAGGGGGAGTGAAGAGAAAAGGGAGATAGTCGGTGGGGAGGGGGTGGATTTTCTGAACTGTAGACCTAGGAGCCCTAGAAGTGAATTGAGGCCTCTTTGTGCTGGGTGCTGTACAAACACAGACCAGAAAGATGCTCTCTGCCCCAAGGAGCTTACAGTCTCATCTCTTGCCTCTGTCTTTGGCATCTCCCCTTTGAGCACGGGCAATAGCTCTTAGCATAAGGGGAGGATTTCATAGATTTGTGCATCTCTGAGCTCCAGAGCTGAGGGTCTTCCACAAAAGTTGGGATCTCCAAACTAGCAATGACTTAGCGGTGTCCTTTTGGGATGAGTGTGGAAAGCTGATGCATGGAGAGTCAAGTGCCCCTCCGGATTTCTTCTTCACTTGCCAGGGGTGAGGGAAAGAATCTCACAGCTCCCTGAAATGCTCGGACCCTGACCTCGACCCTGGGGCTCGGTGGGGAACGGAAGGGGTGGGACCAGCCATTGCCAGGGAGAGCAGCTGAACGCGTCCTAGCAGAGGGACAGACCTCACCTTCCCGTACCCACACCCTGCAGGTAACTGGTGGGGCAGGGCAAGCCTGGTAGCCCCAAGCTGGATGCGGGGCAGGGAAGGTGCTGAGCAGAGGAGACACACGGGGCCCCCCTCTTAGATTCTGGCCCGCCCAGGATGGGAAAGGGTGAGTTGCCTGTGGGAGAGGTGGCTGTCACCGCCCCCACGCGTTCAGAGGCGCTCCCTCCGCTCAGCATGACATGAGCAGACAGACCCCGCTGGCCTCTCGTCCGGGCTTGCCCTGAACTTTGTCCCAAAGGCACACAAGGGCTTTTGCTGCGTTTGTAGAAACGTGGGGTGGAAATAAGGAAGCTGGCTTTGAAATGCAGTGTTTGAATGAGTTGTCATCAAGAGGCCGCGGCTTCACAGCCCTGTGGCTTGACGCTCTGGTGAGTCGCGTGACCGGTGCAGTGTAGCTTCCTCCGTGCACCCACCCGCCACCCTGCCTGGTCTCTGACCGAGGGGGGGGCAATTGTTCGGAGATGGAGAGGCGCTCTCTGGCCGTCCAACCCCAGGCTCTGCCAGCTGAGACAAAGGTGACCAGTTGCGATGACGTCCAAAAATCCAGCTCGCGCAAGCCAAGAGCTGCACCACGACTCCTAGCTGACCGTGGATCTGGGCTGTCCAGCTCAGGCCGGAAGAATCGGAGGTCCCAGTGCGAGTTCCTGCTCCTCACAACACACCCGTGATGCAATGTCCATGTCGATGAGAGGTTACGTTGTGCAATAGCTGTTAGGACAGAAGAGGAGTGTTGGTCCAGCAGGTTTATTTTTGCATCCAGTTGGTGGTGATGTTCCCCTCTGCTCCTTTTCTAGGTGCAGAAAAGGAGCCTGAACTCTGTGCCTGGGGCCATTCGGCCGAGGCCCCCAGCGCCAGAAGCGGGAGAATGGGTCTGCCTGCTTTGTGACCTGGAGGAGGCTGGGCCGGAGGGAGTGTCTGTGGGCTGGGGCGGGGATGAGGCGGTAGGGGACCCGGCGAGCGGGCAGGGTGCTGCCGGACGGAGACATGGCCCAGCACAATGTGGGGATCAACAGTGAGTACTGGGACTGGAGCGCGGACGCCGGGGAGCGGGCCAGGCTGCTGCAGAGCCCCAACGTGGAGACAGGGCCCAAGAGCGATGAGGGGCAGGGACCTGGCGCGGGGAGCACCTCCACCCTCGGGGCCGTCTTCATTGTGGTGAACGCCGCCCTCGGGGCTGGGCTGCTCAACTTCCCTGCGGCCTTCAGCACGGCGGGCGGCGTGGCAGCAGGGATCGCGCTGCAGATGGTGAGTCCGCCGGGCGTGGGGGAGGGGCTATCGGTGGCCTGGGCGTCCCTGCAAGAGAGCACGGAGCATCGTAGGGATGTCACGTGCCCTCCAGCGCGGCGGGCGGCGTGGCAGCAGGGATCGCGCTGCAGATGGTGAGTCCGCCGGGCGTGGGGGAGGGGCTATCGGTGGCCTGGGCGTCCCTGCAAGAGAGCACGGAGCATCGTAGGGATGTCACGTGCAGTCGACGATGCGGTTAGTTATCCGATGAGCCTGGGTTTATTGGTTAATCTTGTCGAAGACTCGCATTTCCCCCCTCCCTCCTTGCTGCCCCGGGCACAGGGCGGGAAGGGGGGGGA